CCGTTGGTAGGCATCCGAGGTTAGTTCTGCAACAAAGCAGCAAAAGAGGGGGCATACCGAATAATCCGCGTCCGATTCTTGTGGTTGGGAGGACGAAATCTCTTTGGGGGATTTCTAGTTGCTAACACCTAACCTAACCCTTTATTTATTTATTGAAGTATCATGCTTTACTATTTGACGTTATAATTGTGATTGTGTCTTAAATTATTTCGAATCTTGCCAGATAGCATTTTTAATTTTTATCGGAACAGGAATTACACTAGCCGGATTAGGTTCCCTAACCTAATTTAATTTAATTCTATATAAGTAAGGTTCTAATACATGAGTTTAATTCCAAGCCCTCACTTCTTTATTTAAATTCTAAATTTACCCCAAACTAGTGCTTGTACCTTGTATGTTGGTATACCATCACTCTTGCAATATATATATAGGTATATATACGCCTTGAGGGATGTGCCTAGGACCAAAATTAATTAAAATAACAACCCATCACACTTCCCCAAGACTATGATTAAGATATTCTAGGAAATCCAAACCTAGTGACCTAGACCTAGGTTGCAAATCTCAAAACTAGTTACCTTTCAACTAAAGATCAACTAATTGATGCCAAAACCTATGATTTAGCACCTTAGTTACTCCTATCCCATTTGACACCAACGAAAATCCTAGCTTTCCCATCCATTTTCAACTAAAGGGCTTTTATGTCATTTTACACCAAAATTGCCTATATATATATATATATATATACCACACCCCCTAGCTTACAAACTCACATAACATACTCACTCATACACACATTTTGGTTAGAAAGAGGGGGGAGAGCAAGGAAGAGAAGTCTAGAGAAGAAGAGGGAGGAAGGAAAGAGTTTCTTGTGCAAAGTTGGAAGGTAAGCCACCAACACAACCTTCTCTTCATTTCCTTTTCTAATGCATGTTCTAAAGTTTCTGAATAATGTTTCGGATCTGTTATTATCAAGTTCTTATGTCAAAAAAAATGGTAAGGGTTGTGTATTGATTTCATCCCTCTTGTATTTTCCCCATTTTGGCACAAACCATCTACTTTTTGTACAAATCTCTCAACTTTTCAAGGGCACTCTTTCAAACAAATTTTATGAGTTAAACATGTGATAGTTAGCATATTTTCCTCACAAAAGAAATGAAACTTTCCCATGGTGGAACCCCCTTTTTATAAATTTTCTTGATTCGAGCATTCTACCTTAAAACCTGTTTTTGCAGTCAACTTTCAAAAATTTCAGAAAAATGTACAAAAATATTCTGAACCTATATTTTATGTCAAAACCTTCCTTTAGAAGTTATCTTTCAACTAAAATTGGTTTCATCGAAAAACATTGAGCGGTTTGCAAGAAAATCAAGTTTTCGTAACAGTCGACGGATCTGGGCAGATTCTGGACAGATTCTGGACAGTGCTGAAATACTTTCTAAATAATTTAGAATCTAGAAGAGCAACCCCAATTCCGAAAAATGTTCTATAAACCAGATCGAATCCTTTATAAACCATAGGAAGGCCAAGCCGGTAAAGGGTCTAGAATAGCTCTTTCATTTTAATCTTTATGCGATATTAAATCTGGAAATTTTTGTTAGGTGTGGATATCCTGTACCTTTGAGTTCGTGAGAATGTTTGCAGATTATAATCATATCTTGACCTGATAATATATGTGTTGTGGTTATGCTAATTACCTTTCCCATCTTAAGAATGCATGCTTATATGGATATTATTATTTTATTAGTTAAGCTAACCTTGTCTTAAAACACTTAATTCAATGGGAAACCTAATTGGGAGGGTATTGGGTTTTCGAGCACTTGAGAAATGAAAAGATGAGAATATGTGTCATATGGATTGTTGGGATGCGTTCCCTATTTGAAGTTAAAGTCTTGCGCAAGTGGTTTTCGGAACCTTTGAACGGAGCGATTGTATTCGGACCCTGGGTGGTTTGGTGTGAGGAGGGATTCGGGCAAGGCCCTATTTCACCGTCTCTTTTGAGGCCCTGCGGTTGGCGCTACGCGGTATATAACCGTTGGTAGGCATCCGAGGTTAGTTCTGCAACAAAGCAGCAAAAGAGGGGGCATACCGAATAATCCGTGTCCAATTCTTGTGGTTGGGAGGACAGAATCTCTTTGGGGGATTTCTAGTTTACTGACATCTAACTTAACCATTTAATTATTTATTTATTGGAGTATCATGCCTTACTACTTGATGTTATATTTTGTGATTGTGTATTGGACTGGGAAAAAGGGGTGGGGTGTGTGTGTGTGTTTACTGGGTATTCAAAGCTCACGGCGTATCATGCCAGGTGACGAAGAGGAACTCATAGCTGGAGGCATCGAACCTGAAACCTTTGAAGACTTTTGGCTATCCTAGAATATTAAAAGTTTCCTTTTAGATATTTTGTAAGACTCATTTGAAGTTTAAAACTTTCTTTTCGGGATGTAATGTAATGGAACAATTTTTTTGAATCAAGTATAATTGTGGTTGTTATGTATTTATATTCTATGTATGAACCTTATCATTGCTCATGGGACCTTGTGCCAATGCCTTGTAAGATCTGTCAAAAAGATAGTGCGCTGCCTAAGAAAGCTGGACTTAGAAGGGAGGCTATTTTGACTCCTCCAGCGATCTGGGATCTTACTTGGATATTGGCCATAGGACTCACTAGTGACTCTCCCTTGATTGCAACCTATAGTGTAGAATCGGGGCGTCACAATTTGTCCCAACTTGATTTTAATAAAAAAAAAGTTTAGGAGATTATTGATAAATTAGGATGAAGTATATATGTACGTTGGTCAAAATTATCAAGCATAAGGTAATAGTATGGAATCATATCATTACATAGTTGAGTTTAAAATAAAAAATCCATGTACGAAATCCGAAAACATCCAACCTGTTGCCACCCTAGTGACAGGCTATTTGGAAACTTAGGAGAAAAGAAAATAAATGATTTGTTAAGTTAGGAGATAAAAGAAACAAAGAGAAAATATTTACATTTCTCTTGCTATTATTTCATTAAAGCTTAATAGAAAAATTATATTACCAAAGTAATTTTTTTATATTTTTTTTTCCCCTTTAGTACCAAGACATTTTTGTTTAGAAATCACATGGTTTCTCTCCTCTCAATGTCTTCACCTTTGGGGAATTCAAAATTGAACTGTAGAAAAATAAAAATTGTCCCTTTAATAATTCAAATAAGTGATTAGCAATCAGTTGTCATTTGTTAACAAAGCAAGCCCAGTTTGGTATTATATGGTAAGGTTTTTTTGATCTTCAGCTTGACAAAAAAATATTAACTAGTGATATTAATTTGAACATCATTGACTTCACAATTTTGAAGGCCTGATTTCATGTAGGAGCTTCCAACTCCATAAGCTATTTCGTGGTGGTGTTGTTTTTTGGGGCCTCTTACCTCTAAATGGGTCCAAATTCAAATTCCGCGGACCCCCTTGCTATCTATGATATGAACCCAACGATCAATATGGGTTCGGGAAACTTTGGGCCTGGATTTTGGTCTTCATTCAGAGTACAAAGACTACACTTGGGCTTAACTACGCTGTAAAGCTCTAAATTTTATTTTTGTTTTTGTTTATTTTCAATTTTAATTATTTATCTATTTTTTAAATAAATTAATAAAAAATAAATATTTTAGTTATTAAATTTAATAAAAATAATATTTTAGATATTTTATGTAGATTTTAGTAATTAAAATACTATTTTTTGTAGATTTTATTTAACGAAAATAAGTTGATAGTTTAAAAAGAAAATATCAAATTAGTGTGATTTTACAAAAATATTTATCTATATAATAAGGGAGAGTGGTTTTTGAAATCTGATGGGACTGTTGTCCCTTTGTCAAAATGTGAACCCTTGGATTGATTCAATCCAACGGTTAAAAAATGTCCAAGATACAAATTGAGTTTACAATGGGGTTTCTATCTCTCTCTCTCTTTAAAATTGAGTTTTCTCCCTCATCTCTCACTCTCAGAGCTCATACCAGCAAATCGGCGACATACCAGCAGATCGGTGACATACATAGCAAATCGGTGAGATTCTTCACCATTTTCACTTCTCTCTATTCACTGTGAATACCCATATTTGATTTTGTTATTTGTTTATCAAATTTTTTTGGGTAATCGGGAGTTTTTGTTGGGTTTGTTTGTTTGATATGGTGTTTTGATGATGGATGGTAGGGGAAGACAGCCAAGACCACAAAACAGAAAATCGTCTCTGGGTATTTATGTACACTTTCTGTTTTTATATGTTGGATTATTATTTATTAAGTTTACATTCAGTTTTTTTTTTTAATTTTATTTTAATGTTTCACTTTTTTAAGCTTTTCTCTGTTTTTTGTTTGTTTATTTTAAGTTTACATTATGTTTTAAAAAAATTGGTATGTTTGTTTACTTAACTTTTTTTGTGTGTGTTTTTTTTTTTTAAAGAAAAATAATAATTCAGTGCTCTTAATTTTATTTTTTGTATAAATCTCTTTAATAGTAACTGTTCTAAGAGTCTTAGGTTTGTCTCTTTAAAAAATTATTAGGGATTTTAAGTTAAAACCCATGTTTGTTTGCATGTGTTTTGAGATGGAAATTGAATTTTTTAGGCTGAGATTTTATTTCTTTTCGTTGTTTGTTTTTTTTTCCCTTCTTTAATTTTGTAATTTTGTTTCAAGTGGGTTGTTGGATTCTTTGATTTGTGGGTTCTCTTTTTGGGGGTTTTCCATCTCTCTCTCTCTCTCTCTCCAGAGAGTTTAGTTAGGTGGGTTCTATTTATCTCCATTCTTAAATGGATCTGGGTTCATGTTTCAACTTTGGTAAGGGTGCAACAACAATAGATAAAAGTAGCCAGTTTTTTCTGTGACAATTGGTGGTGATGTTTTTGCTTCTCCTCTAATGTAGTTAAGTGTTTGATGCATGCCAATTGTTTGATGAACTCTGTTGAGTGGATTAGCATTTTAGTCTCTTTGTTGAGTGAAGGAGAGCAGTGGTTGGAAGTGGCTGGGATTGAAGTGGTGACTGTTAGGTGGTAGTTTTGGTGGGTAAGAATTGTCACTCTGTTCCTTTTTTCTTTTCTTTTTTTCTCATTCCCTTTTTTTTCTCCATCCAACCAACCAACCATGCCTGATGCATGCCAATTGTTTGATGAACTCTGTTGAGTGGATTAGCATTTTGGTCTCTTTGTTGAGTGAAGGAGAGCAGTGGTTGGAGGTGGCTGGGATTGAAGTGGTGACTGTTAGGTGGCAGTTTTGGTGGGTAAGAACTGTCACTCTGTTTCTTTTTATTTATTTTTATTTTTTTCTCATTCCCTTTTTTTTCTCTATCCAACCAACCAACCATGCCCCAGCTCAATCATCTTTGTCCATTTTCCAACCCAATTTCATTATTAAGAGAGCCTCGATGTGAAGTTATTTGGGACCAATTCATTTAAAGGCCTAATTGTTTTAGAGATGGGTAATTTTATTTAGCCTTTCTGCATATCCATTTTCGATTCTTTATATATTATGTGATGTGTGCGGGCCTTTATTTTTAGTGATTTGTTGTGCCTTTGGGTTGAATACCTGCGTTGTGTTTTTTTGATCATGGATGAGGACTTGATGCCTTAAGGTATGAACATATTACTGGGATGATAACTTTGGTCTCCATTGGCTCTAATGTGGCCCAGTTATGGTGTTTCTTACTGATACAATCGGCAAAATTTGAGTGGGACCTGCGAAAGATTGTTTGCTGAATGGAAGTTTGTTGCCCTGTTAATCGAATTTAATGATGGATTGGCAGATTTTTGTGAAGTTATGTATATCTATTGTCATTTGCTTTATATATATATATTGGTACTTTATTTCCTTCATTTTTCATTCTAACGTCTGGATGAGATAAATGGTGTCGTGGAAACGTAATTGGTTGATGAAAGTAATAAAGTTGCCTGAAGTTATTTTTGTTAATTCTGAGGTATGTATGTTTTTCTTATGTAGTTAGAATTTGATTGGCAACAGTAACACTAACGGGTGTGCATTTTAATTTTAATTTCTTTTAAATTGCAGAGTACTGGCTGGTGGGCATTATTTGATATTTAATTTTTTTTTATATTTGATTTGTTTGGAATTGTAGAGTGTAGTCTATTAAATATATTTTTATAATTGCATTTTAATCTTAAATTTAAATAGTGTTGCGATTACAATTATATTATAATCCTAGCATTATTTACACTGTGCCTTCAGGCACGAGCATACGCTAGGTTCACATACCAGCCGACCTTATATTAATTACATACCAGCCGACCTTATATTGATCACAGATTTTTTTTGGCTTGCAAATCGGCGACCTTCACATACCAACCACAAGAATTTGAAAATGTAATATTTTCTAAAAGGCTACCTATAATTTTTCCTTTTTTATTTTGAAAATTTATGCTAGACTTGAGAGTATTTTGTTGCAATTTCTACTTATAAAACACAAATAAATTAAATAAGTTTAAAAAAATTGAACATAAAAATTGAAAGTTGAGAAATAAGTGCATTTACCTTTAGTGCCCATTTCACAAAATAGGCACATTTCTCTTTCATCTTTATCCTAAATAGCATCCAAGTGGTAAACTCACATGAATATTATAAAATTTCATGTTCCACAGTTATCTTAGTAGTTTTACATGGATTTTAATGTGTATTATTTGGGCGTTGTTTTTATATATTTTTGAAGGGTGACACTTTTGCCAAGTAAATTTTAAATTTTCTACTTTTTTCCACGATATGTACTATGAAAATATGTCAAGTTCCTAAATACTCCTATCTAGACTTTATGTCCCTAAATAATTTTTTGAAATATGTCATGTTCCTAAAGTAATCTTTCTTTTTTAATCTTTTTCCTTATTCTGAATGTCATGATGAAAAATACTTGATTTGCCCATGGGTTGTTATGTTTTTGTTGTATGATATGGTGTAAATGAAGAGAAACTGTTTATTAGTTTCCTAAGTGTGTATGTCCACCATTTAAAACTGCTGTCAGGGTAACTGAAAGGTCAATTTGAAATTGCCAGAAAACTGCTGAAAGAGGAGGCTATGGAGGCAAGAGATATGAGTAGCTTGAGTTTCAAAAAAAAGTTGCCCGTTCCCATCAGATGCTCCATGACGCCTCATGGAAGGTAATAGCTATTTTTTTTCTATTTTTAATGCCAATGGAAAATAGTTCGGTGTTGTTACTCTCACCAGAAAACTATTTTGTTTGACCCCTTATAATGCCATCCTATAGATGCCCTCTCAGATTTTATCATGATCTTTTTTGGCCTCAACAACAAATTATGGCTTTGCAAGATGTGTGTTGGTTTTGCAACAAATTATAGATGTATGTTGGTTTTCATATGCAATTTTAGTGAGGAAGAAAAAAAAAATTTGAAGGCATTAAATGATGTTTTAGCACAAACCAAACTTGGGTTTTGTTGATTTCGATGATGGTTTTTTTTATTTTCATTTATATATATTTTGTTAGCCAAACAATTAGTGTGCGTGTGTATGTGTGTTTAATTTACATTTATCTAGTTTACTAGCTTAAGATATCATAACAGCAGATATAGTTTCATTCAGCTTTTAAGTCTATGGTGAATTGTTTCATTGCACTCACTTGCAAACCATAGATGCTAGCTTACCCATTGAAGATGTTGAGAAACAGTTGAAGGAGATGGTATTGGATTGTATGACAACATGCCAAAAGGGGAAAGCCCTCTCAAATCTATGGTAAAATTGAAGTTAAAGATATGGAGGGCACAAGTTAAGTGTTAATGCAATTGAATCAACTCATGATGTTGCACTTGCAAAAAGATATTTGGGTAAATTTTATGTTGTTTAGAAGGTATTGTTGCGTCACCGTTTTTATTCCATTAAATTAATTTAATATAATATGCATGGCCCTATTATAGTCACGGTGGAGCAATAACCCACCAGCCATAATAAAATAATATTAAATTTTAAAAAATGGAATTATTCAACAAATTTCGATGCTTTAAATACTAAAAGGATAATGGGAATCATCCTCTAAATCCAGTTGATGGTATCCTCTAAATCCAGTTGATGGAATTTGTAGACAACAAATCCAGTTGATAGAATTTAGTAGGCACTTTTTGTTTTCTGTTTGATTTTGTGGAGAATTGGGAATCATCCCAATAATTTTTTAACTTGCTTTTGGACAATGGGAATCATCCAACTACCAATATTATTCTTCTCTTGATTTTTTTATGCGGTTATTTTTCTATGTGGGTTTTCTGAGTTTAGGCTTGAGTTGCAATGATGTTGTGTATATTTTTTCTTTGTTAGGAATAGACATAATTTCTTTACTTGCATTTAGCTGAACCTTTCAGATTCACTTTTCTAACACCTATAAAATTTTCATGACACATAAGCATTCAATTTTGCTATAGAATTGTTGGTTATCTTCAACATTACCTTTGGTCAGGTAACTAATTGCAAATTTTGCTAGAAAATTGTGGCGGTTGTTTTTGATGGTCAAATTTTGAATATTCTGTAAAATGATTCAATTAAAATAGTTTACTTTCTTATATAATTGTACTTTTTTGTTGTTCAAATAGTGAGTAAATCTATCAAGCCAAGTAAATGGCTAAACAACCTTTCCTACAGAGAGTTTGATTAACCATGCTTGAATGCACTTAGTGCTGGTAATGTGAATGTCCTAATTGATCAAAGTTATCTTATAGTTTATTCTACATTCCCCCCTTCCCCCACACACACAAAAAAAAAAAAAAAAAATAGTGAGTGAATCCATCATAGTTTATTCTATATTCCCCCCAAACAGTGAATGATACATGCCTTGGATATTTGGTAAGATTAAAAATGGAGAGCAATGGCACAACAGCCCATTTAGCAAGTGAGCCTTTTTTTTTTTCTTCACAATTTTAGAAGTTTATTTATTGAGTTTCTTTTTATTAGAATTTTTCTTCTTGATAGGTGATTTTGGAGGTGGAAGAGAAATTTAGATTATATTGATTCAATAGAATAACTTTGCCTATTAATTTTTTCACATCCTATAACTCTACCAGTGCTTATAATCAATTAAAATTTTAATTTTAAAACTTAGACACTGTAGGCACAATTGTATATTCATTTTAAAATAGATGTGACAAAAAAATGTGGTTATAATAAATTAAATTTTTGATTGGATGGGTTAGAGTCAATTTTTTTTCTTCTTCTTCCCTTTACTCCTGTGACTCTTAACTCAATATATTTTTGTTTCATTGGGTGAAAACATTTGGAGATGTGAAGTTTTGTTGAGTGGGTCTGGAGATGTGAAGTTGATAATCGAGGAGTTAAACAATGCTGAGATTGGCTCAATGAGGTCTAGAAAGAATTTGTAAAAAAAAAAAACAGTAAAGAGGTCTAGAGTAACAAAAGTTAGTTTTAAGCCAATTGGCCGTTTTGATTTTTCTTCAAATATTTGGTTTTGGAACTACATTAATTCAGTAGACTATCTATGTTATTAGTTAATCATCTTGGAGTAATGAGTGATGGCATAAACTTACTTTATGCTTGAAGCAGTTTAAACCTGCTTTATACTTTTAATTGGATGATTATGCATAATGGTACCTCATAAGTGAAGAAGAAAGTGGTTTCACTATCAACCCTTAATGTTTGTTTCAGCTATTCAAAAATAGGCACTTAAATAGCTTACAAAAGCCTAGGCCCAATTCAAACCAAGGTTTTTTAAATAGGCACTTAATATGGAAAGAAGGTTTTTGAATTTGTCTTACGTGGCAAGAAATTGTCTTAGTTAACAAGTGAAAGAATTAACTGATAAAATTTTTATGCCCTTTCGAGGAGCCTTCTATTACCACTAGAATTAAGAAAGTGGAAAAAATGACACAAACTATACAAAATTTCAATATATATATTTTTTAGTATCTTTATCAAAAAATGACATAAATTTTACAAATTTCAACATGATACGTATAAATTACAATTATGTTTTGATCTTAACATTAGGCACGTGCATACACTAATATATAGATATAGCTCACTCTCTTTTCTTTCCTCATTTCAATACAAAGCTACACTACAGCATCAGCAAATGGCTCTGTTTCTCTCTCTATGCTCTGTTTTGTTCATCTTCTCTCTCTACAGCATCTATGCTTCCGCAGCTCTTCCTCCTCTTCAACCACATCTTGATGGTAAGCACTGCCTCACTCCCTTTAACTTGCTTTATATACATCTCACATTACATCTCTGTTTCTCTTTTTGGAAGAAATTGCTTGAATGTGATGTGGTTTAGTTCTAATTTGGTTTGTAAATCAACAAAGTTTTTTACTTTTTAGAATAACTCTAACACTGAATTTCACTTAACAGAAGTATATATAAAATAATTTTACTTTTTAATTTTATCTCACAACTTTACCTAATATGTGTACTCCAACAACAATTGCTACTCATGAAATTAGTTTGCCTAGCTTTTAGAACTCTCTAAATGTAGTTATCCAAAACGTGTGAGGCAAAATGTAGATCCATCCTTGGTGAGTTTGGGACTAGCAAAAAAAAAATAGAGTTTTTCCTTTTAGTATTATTTTTTAAAAAAAAAATTTGTGTAGAAAAAATTTACTTTTCAAGTCAATCTACTAGATCTAAAAAAAACAAAAAAACAAAAAAACAAAAAATTGAAAAAAATATTCTAAAAGGTTCATTAAAAATAAAAAACTCTTTCTTTTTTTTTTTTCCTGTCTTAGTTGAATATAAAAATGTAATATTTTCTAAAAGGCTACCTATAATTTTTCCTTTTTTATTTTGAAAATTTATGCTAGACTCGAGAGTATTTTGTTGCAATTTCTACTTATAAAACATAAAAAATTGAACATAAAAATTGAAAGTTGAGAAATAAGTGCATTTACCTTTAGTGCCCATTTCACAAAATAGGCACATTTCTCTTTCATCTTTATCCTAAATAGCGTCCAAGTGGTAAACTTACATGAATATTATAAAATTTTATGTTCCACAGTTATCTTAATAGTTTACATGGATTTTAATGTGTACTATTTGGGCGTTGTTTTTATATATTTTTGAAGGGTGACACTTTTGCCAAGTAAATTTTAAATTTTCTACTTTTTTTCACGATATGTACTATGAAAATATGTCATGTTCCTAAATACCCCTATCTAGACTTTATGTTCCTAAATAATTTTTTGAAATATGTCATGTTCCTAAAGTAATCTTTCTTTTTTAGTCTTTTTCCTTATTTATTCTAAATACTCTACCACTGTTGGTTGGATATGAATCTATAGGAATATGTTAGTTTTGATACTCATTTTCTTTGGAAAAATTCACAATAGTTTAAAATTTGTAATATTTTATTTACCAGTGTGAGCACTTCCAAATTGAGGCATGAGTTATAGTTATAAAGATAAATTCATGATTTAATTATTGAGCTTCGTTGGAGGTTTTATTTAATATGATTTGAATTTCCTAGCTAGGGAATCATGTATATTTTTTTATCTGAATCAAAATATTATATTGGTTTTTGTCTATCTTTTATTTTTATTTTGTATTTTTTAACCTTTATAACTTTTATTGCCTATATGAAGGTGATCAAATTGTTAGGAGAAGAGGATTGATTTCAGAAAAAGAAAGTTAGAGAGAAAAAGAAGATAGTAATTTAAACTTTGAAGCAAAAACTCCCATTTTCAAATATACACTACCATATTAATTATTTGTCGGTTTACAATCTTAAAAAATTCTTATCCATTGTTTAGTCATGATGTGTAGGCATAAAAATAAATAAGGTAAAATTGTAATGTTTTTTTAAAATATTTGGTCAGTCATGTAACTTTTTTTTTCTATGAAATACATGTCGCACATTCCTTTTTTGGGTTTCCATTGAACAATACTCTCAATGAGTTAGAAGAGTGTAGGAATAGCCTAGACTCTTGCATTGGGAAAAAATACACAGATTAGTAGGTACTTGGATTATTTTTCTCTTACAAGGTTGTCTTCCACTATCAACTAAATTTTGTTTTATATCATGGTTTTAGTATTGAATTTTGCTTTTTCTTTGGTTGTTTTCTTTTTCTTATTGTATCAAACATGATATTTTCACTACAATAGGTTTTTAGGTAGCTACAGTTTGGAGGTTTGTATGATTTGTTGTCATTCTCAATTTCACTCTCTATGCTATTGTTTTCTTTCTATTCATTTATCTACTTTAATAGTGCAAACACATGTCTATTCACTTCAACATGGAATGACAGGTTTCAATTGACCATAATAGCTGCATTGCTTTAAACAATGATGTTGGCATTTGCAAGAGAGTTTGAAGTTATTATATTGCGTTGTAGATATCTCAACATTGAATCATGTATCATATCAATTCTCTTTTATGTAGCATGCTACTTTTTGTCTACCAAGTTACTAACCTAACTTTCAAAATTTGAATTAATTTCTCACAGGCCAGTGGAAGCAAGAGCAAGATGGTGATAATCATGATCATGTTGCTTAAAGCTTTAGAGCCTTGAATAGATAACCATAAGTGATGATGTACTTGGATGAAGAATATAACTCAATTTTGTCATCACTTGAATTGTGAAGCTTTGTGAATTTCGGAAATTTAGGAATCATTGTTATTACATTGTTCTGTACTTTATATCATTGTCCAAGTAGAGAGATTGGACAGTTGTCTCATGTATCATTTTAGATGGTCAAGATCAATTTTAAACATTTTGTCGGATCTCATACAGCTAAGATCAAGAAGGCAGCTTTTTTAAAGTATCTTGAATATTTTGGTAAGACTGATTATTTCTTTCTAAGATCAAATGGTGAGAGATTGTTTTTTCACCTTTAAATTCCCTCTCAAATGTGTCATGTTTGTTGATAAATTCCACCTTTAAAGATCTCTTAATTTTTTGTATCTTGCTTCACTTCAAAACTCACTCCACAAACCTTTATCCATCTCTCCTCTCTTTAACCATCTGCATTTTATCCCATTCATTTTCTCTTGACATGTGGGTATGATCTATGTTTGATCTTGAGGTTCATTTCTTTGGGATTGTGTAGTTTTTTTTTGTGTAGCTCATTTATTGTTTCAGACTCAATTTATGGGTATGTGATTATTTGTGACTTTTGGTGCATATATGTTGACAGTTTTGTAAAATAATTGATTTCAGTGTTTTCTTTGGTGGGTTTTAAAGGTAGAATGAGAGAAAAGCTTAACACTATGCCAGATTTTTGACCTAAACAGAAAGAGCGACTTTAATTTTTTTTTGTTCATATTTTTTAATTCATAGTTATTTTTTTTTAATTTTTTTTAGAGGTTCGTAGTTATTGATTTTTTGTTTGTTTTCTTATTATTATGCTATCTACTTTAACCAAGAGGAGTTTGACTGATAGAATTGCCTAATTTTAATTTTGGTGTCATTTTGAAAGGAAAAATGAGTAATACTGAATTTTCAAATTACTTTCCAATTAGCTTTTTAGTTTTCTTCTAATCTCATTTTCTATCGGCTTTTATTTGTTGATCAGATTTTTATCTATTTTGTGTTTGAGTGATCTAATGAAAATTACTGTTTTTGCTTAGGACCGCTTAACTGAGCATAGTCTATTGATTGCCTTTTTTTAGCAATTACAGTATTAATTTTTAATCATAATTGTTTTCGAACTCATAACCCATTTGATATATTTATTTGAAATCATACAAACAATTCATGAGATACGGTATGCAAGAAGCGATAGAAAGCATGCTTAGATATATTTTTTTTCCTTTCCTTTTGGAATGCTTTTAGGCACAAGTCATTCGCTAATTGTCTTATATGAAAATGAATTAAAATAGTGAATGACCCGTGCTTGATTGGGGATAAAAAGATCTTAGTATCTTTGTAGAATTTTCACCAAGATTGCTTACGAAAATTGCAAGGTAAGTTATTTTTTTTATATTTTTATTTCTTCGCATCTTGATTGTAACCCATTAAGTATTTTCTATCCGTGACACTTAATTACTAGAATTAATTTAGGAAAAATTACAAATCAGTGGTAAGACCAAAAAAAATTGCAAAATCATAGGAAACTTTAACACTTAAATTATTAAAGTTGATAAGCTTTACTATTGATTTGCAATTTTCCTATTAATTTTTAAAATTTTATTATCGATTTTGCTATCAATGGTTTTATTTCGAAAAGTGGAGAGATGAGTTGATTTTTTGCTATTCGTTTTAAATTCTCAAAAGATGTACAAGTGATTTAGAAAAAAACATTTGACTGCTATGTATGGTTGCTACTTTTTGTAAGGTTGTTATTTTTCGTACGAGTGATTTAATATTTTTCATGGATGTACAAGTGATTTAGTGTTTTCATGGATGTACAAGTAATTTAGTATTGCTCAAAAAATGTATAAGTGATTTAGTATTAATCAAAAAATATTGCTAATTGCTCAATGACCCAATGTCTACCTTTATATTGAACTGCCTATGTATATTAGCTGTTTCTCAACTTAATTAGTTATATCTAAAAGTTTCATAACATTTGTAGGTTTTTGGTTGATGTCAGGTTGTGTTGGGAGTACATTTTTCTCATGTCACATTGTTTGTAGGCAAGTTAAATTATTATTATTTTTCCTAGATTTTTCTCACGTAGTTTCAGGTTTATAATTTGCAAAGAACAATTACAATGTGATTTGCAGCAGTAGCACCAGCAGGTGTACATTGTTTGGTATCAGCAGGTGTATATTGCTTGGTATTTAAATTAATTTTTTTAGATTACAGAGCATTGGTTGGTGTGCATTTCAATTTTAATTTTCTTAGATTGCAAAGCAATAGCTGGTGTGCGTTGGTTGGTATTTAATTTTAATTTGTTTTTGTTTTTTTTTGAATTGCAAAATACTGGCTGGTGTGCATTGTTTGGTGTAATTTTTTTTGAATTATAGAGTGTTAACAAATGTACAATACCTTGGTTTGTATGTTTTGTTTTGTCTTTACAATTTTTTATTAACTTGCATAGCAAGGGTGCTTTTATTTTTAATGTTTGCATTGATATGAAGTTTATACTTTAGAGTCATAAAGTTTTTTTAATAAAAATGAAATGTTTATGATTGCGTTACTTGCCGTACTTTAAATAGTTGATTGGGAAATATTTATTTTCAAAATATACAACCAAAAATATTTTCAAGTTTTTTTAATAAAAAATCTTTTCAAAACTAACCAGACCTTCATTCATATTTTGACTTCAAATTTTTAGCAACAAATGGGATAAATTATCTTTTAACCCAATAATTTTATATTTAATTATATTTTGATCTCATCATTATTTGCACTGTGCCTTTAGGCACGGGCATACACTAGTAAATTAATAAGAAACCTTATGCATATTAATGATAAAAATTGTAAAATTTTTTATGATTGAATATTTTATTTGTCTGACACCCATTAGGGAGTGATTACCCCTAGTTTAAATTTAGAAATTTAAAATTTAAATTAATAAAATTTAAAAATTAAAAATTTATTTTATTAAAAAACAATTATTGTTATTTTTCTGAAAAAAAAAATTTTTTTTGGAATTTTGTATCATCAATTATTATGAAATAATAATAAGAAGAAGTCACAGCGTCAACACCACCACCGCCAAAGGGAACGGAAGGGAAGGGGAGGGTAGGGTTGCGACCTATTTCCCCAAAAATCCCCCACCCCACACAAAGTGAGTGAGAGAGAGAGAGAGAGAGAGAGTTGCAATTTGCAAGGAGATCAAAGGAAAGAAGAAAGGAAGGACCCAACCCAATATACAATACACATACCACTGGTATTAATCAGTATGGATTCCTCACAGAACTCGGGTGGTATTATAAATCCTCAGCAAAACAGCGAAGCATCGACCACCGAAACAACAAGCGACGATCCGAAGCAAAACCTAAACCAAGTGATCAACTCCATACAGAAGACTCTGGGACTTATCCACCAGCTTTACCTCACCGTCTCTTCCTTCAACGTCGCCTCCCAACTCCCCCTCCTCCAACGCCTGTACCTTCTCCTCCTCCTCGAATTCCTTTCTTTTATTCCAACTTTCTTCAAAAACACACATCTTTCAATTTTTCATATTTTGTAATTGCAGGAATTCGCTTGTTTTGGAGCTCGACACCATGACTAAAATGGTTGACAAGTGCAATATCCAGATCCCCATGGAGGTCCTCAAGTGAGTTTATATACATATATATATTTATTTTTTATTTTTTTGTTCTTTATTTTATTTTTATGTTAACGGGTATTTTTTTTAGTTTAATTGATGAGGGGAAGAATCCGGATGAATTCACTAGGGATGTGTTGAATGGCTGCATTGCCAAAAACCAGATCACCAAAGGCAAAACCGATGCCTTCAAGGTTTGCTTTTTCCATCCCAAGTTGCTTCCAATCCAACATTAATTCTCTTCATCACACCCTGTTTGTATATTTTTTAACACTTAATGGTGCATCTATTTCTTTCTTTTCCGTAAACCAATATATAGTTTATGGAATGTTATCTTCCTGCTATTGAACCCTTTTCCTCTTGCTTCTGCATGACAAGTGTTTGAATAATTCAATACTAGTCTTCAATATCATGTTTCATGTCCTCTATTTTCTTCTTGTTACACTGTATTAAGGTAAAAGTGGTGGTGCATGTCTTTTAACTTCGATGTCATAGTTATCATAGTTGTTAGTAGGTACAACTATGACATTCAGAATCTCCCATATTTTGAATTTGAGTGAACTTTGATTCCATATACCTGACCTGCCATCTTGGTTCTTACATTCTTGTTGAAAAGGCTTGTTAACTAGATTGCACCATTATTTTGCCTGCACTTTTGATCTTGAATGCAATTATCATTGTCCTGCTTGTGTTCAGAGTTTACGGAAGCATCATCTAGAGGAACTTGAACAGGCATTTCCAGATGAAGTGGAATCTTATAGGGAGATTCGAGCTACTTCTGCAGCTGTAAGTTACACTTTAAGGGTGTCAACTTCTCTTTTTACAAAATTTTTGATGCATTCTTCTTTATCCAGTTTGTTGTGATGATATATCTAAATTGCTGAGTTCATAGCAAAGAAAGAATATGAGTAGCTAGCTTATAATTGTTTAAAAAAATTTATAAACAAACTAGTTGCATGTGGGATATTGATGGAAAATGCATTTCGAGATTGTGTTGCAAAATATGTGATGTACATGTATAACAATTTGTAAATTTTAATTAGTTTAAGCCTCTGAATTTTATGGTGCTGAAGAAAAGCATGAACTTTCTAGTCTATTAATTAAATGACAAACTGAACTCTAAGTTACCTAACCTGCATCCTTAGACAAGCCTGTTTTAAAATCGCTGCATTTATCATTTTCAGAAACTTTGAAATTTTTTCTTACCCTTAGAAATATCAAGCTAGGTTTTGCATGTACTTGAGTTACTCGATCTTTGTTGCTGGTTTGTGCTTTTTGTTAAAGGCTCTAAGCTCCTAACATCTATTGCAGGAATCAAAACGGATTGCACAAGCACATAGTATATTACCAAATGGAGATGTGAAAGTCAAGCCCGAGCTATAAGAACCATCGTCATTGAAGAACAAGGTTAATTTAGTTATTGGTATGATTTTCCTTCAGTAATCTCAGTGTTTGTCAATAACATATATTGATGTTCTATAAGTGGTTGCATGGATATTAAACTTATTTAAATGATTATGTTTTTTTAATTCCTCCACTAAATACTGATTATGGTTACATAAATTTTGATCCTTTGTAAATGATGTTGTTGCTTAAATTCCTTCACTGAATACTGATTAAAAGAGTTTAGCGCAAAATTCATTTTACTTTCCTATTGTTTGGCCTAGGAACGCTTCACCTCCTTCACATATAAAATAGTCATTTCATTCTTGAATGATTTGGGACTAAAGCGCAATTTTAACTCCGTTATTGAAAATGTAAAATTACTTTAATGCCCTCTGTTTTTTTTCTTATAAATCCGTCTTCTTTGTTTTCGTTCTCCATCAATGTATGACTAATCCTCCATAATTATGACCAAAAAGATGATGTAATAGGACTGTCATCATTGAATTTTGTAGAGTGGCAAACTGATATATACATACAGGCACATATAGTTCCTATTGTTTGGCCTAGGAACGCTTCACCTCCTTCACATATAAAATAGTCATTTCATTCTTAAATGATTTGGGACTAAAGCACAATTTTAACTCCGTTATTGAAAATGTAAAATTACTTTAATGCCCTCTGTTTTTTTTCTTATAAATCCGTCTTTGTTTTCGTTCTCCATCAATGTATGACTAATCTTCCATAATTATGACCAAAAAGATGATGTAATAGGACTGTCATCATTGAATTTTGTAGAGTGGCAAACTGATATATACATACAGGCACATATAGGTACATAACAATATACAAATCCCTAGGGTTTTACTATCGATAAGCAATGAGCAAAAGGAGAAGATAGGTAATATGTGCTCAGAAACACAAAATGAAAATCGAATTTTAAGGCTTAATGCAAGCAATTATTAGCATATCAGAAAACCAAACTTAATCATAGAACAAGAAATCACTTCCTTGTGGCTGGGGAGGGGAGGGGAGGGGAGGGATGTGGTGGGAGTGACAGGAGAGGGGAGATGAGGTTGCAGTGGTGGCGAGGAAGGGAAGAAAATGAAAGCAAGGGATAGGGTTTTCAAATTAGGTATGTGAAGAAGATGAAGACAAAGGTATAATTGTCCTTTTGCATTGTCGTTTGATTGTTTATTTATTTATGTCAACTCTCAAAATAAGTGCGTGTGACAATTTCTGTCAATTTGAATGAAACTAGTTATGGTAGGGAGGTTTTAACACATTCAAGAGCACATGAATAGACACAAGCTGGCATGCATAGTATGCTGGTAATCCTTAACATCTCTTCAATGCAGGTCTTTCAATCTCTGCTTCCCTACAATTTACTAAGATACTTTCCTTATCCACCTCTTTCTGTGGAGGCTTAATCTTTAAATGCTAATTCGAGACGCAGTAAGAGTGAGACATACTTTTTCTTACACTAGTAACTAGCCGCTGTGCAAATGCCATTGATAACGTCAAAAAATGTCTAAAGTTCCCACCATGGTGAACTACAACTCGGGTGGTCCAGAACATAACTAGACGCAAAACTTGACTCAAAACTGCACCAGTTTCCATATGATGTCAAAGAACCATATAGAAGGTTCTTCATTCAGAATGTCAGGTTCTTCAACAAAATTCTCTACGTTTTTGCTACTATCATCGCACATGGTTATCTGGTTTTCATTGTTGATTCAATCATATAGAAGGTTGTTCTCTTTTGCTTCAGTGTTGGCATCCGTGTTATCATATTGTTCATCAATGCTTTTTTGAGTTTGTCCCATCCCATGATTCGTGCTCCCTTCTGGCTTTCCCATTAGATTTCTGAGTCTCTTTAGCTGATGATCAACAAAAGTAACTTTGTAAGAATCTAAATGGGATAAATCACTGTTTTAATGATGTTCATGTAGAGATTAGAATGATTACCTGGATGAGTAAACACTGATTCTCTTTCTTCAAAGAGTCGACCTTAGAAGCTAGAGTGTCAACTGCTCTTTAGCATGTTATGTTCTTGCTCAATCAGCTTCGACTTAGATATAGCTCTTTTGTTCTGGAACCATATAGCAACCTGATGGGGATCGAGTCATAGATCATTAGCCAGCTGCTGTTTTATCTGCAGCTCAGGCCTTGACTCATACTCGAACATGGACCTGAATGACCTAATTTGTTGGTCGCTGAATCTTGTCTTGTTCGTATTCTTGCTCTTCCATATGCTTGTCATGGGATGGAGTTCTGAATCTCCATCCGATAAAGAAACTCGTGCTTTTGTGGTTGCTGTAGTAGTAGAGGTGTCTGTATTTGCCAACATTCTCTTAAGCTTGAGTGTTTTGGTGAACTTGAAAACTTAATTTGGAGAATGAAAGTGTCTTTAATTAATAAGATTAAATTTGGGATGTATATAGTGGGAGAGTGAAAGCCGTATTGTAGATGCGATATGGGGGTGGGGGAAGGGAACGGAAGGGAAGTAGTACAGCTCTACACCCTTGTGATGTTGGTATTCATGTCAATCGCTTGTCTATTGGGACACCTGTTAGTTAATGTCCCCTTCTATGTTTACTAACATGAATATCATTTCCCAACCAAAAATACGTTTAAAATGATAGGCTAAAAAGATCCGTCTTGGGTTGTTGATTGAGTATAATACAGTTTAATGTGTTTATCAATAGGGTGATTTAATATGAATTTTACATGTATTGCTGAATTAAAGGGTAGGGTTATGTTTGAATTGAAGTCACAACCACAAGAGTCATTTTTTATAGATAGGAAGAAAACATTGGTGTGGCGTGATTGGGAGCATAGGCATGTTGCCACGTTGTAGGATGATATTTTGGGGGAAGGTGGGGAAGGGCTCAAGAGGTGATGCAGATCCCTTCGATTCAAGAGATTATCAATCGAGAAATCTAGGTAAGGATTACATTCTTGATTCTTGTAGATTAATTATCTAATAATTAAAATCAAGAAATGATTAGGCTAAATTTCATGTAATTGGAAAGAAATTAGATTTTATTTGCATGTCATATAGGTAAATTAGAAAGATGATGAAGAAATTGAGTTAAGTTTAAAAATTAATGAAAAGTTGTTTGGGAGAAAGATTTGGGATAAGTTGTTCTGCAACCTACAGAACGATACAATTGAGACAAGAACATAAAATATCTACTCACCCACTCTATAAAAGGAAGTGCATAAATTTTTTAACATTTTTTGGGTGCTTAATCGAAATATCAGCAAAGATTACTTGAGCATACAATTCAATATATTCTAAACATTTAGCGGAAGGAAAAAACCTAACTATGGAGCTCTCTTTTGGTTTGAGTTTTGTGAAAGTGAGAATTAAATAACTATAGAACTATGTCCCGCTTAAGTCCTAGCAAAACAGCACTTATTAGAAGGAGCCATCAAAATGTTTATAAAAGCATAGCACTAAAGCATTAAATCACTCCATGGACATTTCTAAAGCAATGCGGTTGTCGGGTGACCAGAAGGAAACATCAATAAGTTTAAACATAACAGGTTATCTTCTCATGATAAACTCTCTTAATTGCTGATAATAAATATTATGTACAATGAGGGAAAAGATACCAATACAGTAGGAGGATCATAACTGTTAATGCAAGAATTTTTGTTTTCATTCTAAATTCTTTATGAAACAGATTCATCCCTTTGCAAATGCCTTCATCATAAGATTTGAGAAAGATTTGTCTTATCTACCTGTTTTCCTGATTGAAACTTAGTGTTGATTAGAGATAATTGAGAATAAGCTGCAAATAGTAATTGAGACTTGCCCGGTTCGGTTTGTGTGTTAGTGGACTGTTAGCAACAGGGATGCACTAATGGGACAGTTAGAAGGATGGCAGCTCCTTCATGTTCCTGTGGTATGCTCAGTGGGAGTTTTCTTTTGTGTGTTATGCTACAGGATTTAGATTTTCTTCGGTAAGCTTTAAATAATTATTGAAACATGGTTCTTACTAAAGTCTGTGATGTCTACAAATATCAATTGAGTGAAGTAAATAAATCTTTGGTAAAGCTTGACAAATGGAGGAATTTTTCAATACATTGTCAATGACATGGCGTTGTAAGTTGAACGTGATTGAAATTGGGAAGTAGTATCTCTATATCTCCCTCAGATTTCTTCGCCATATATTTCAGCCCCCTTTGCTTTCTGTCACTTGTTGATACGTGGCATATGGCTGCTTCTATTTCTTCTCCCAACTCCTCTCATACCCCAATTAGTAATGATGAAATCTATATCGAAGTAAGGATAGTACAGAGAATTAAGGTAGGTGTAGAGCAGATTTTCTCCACCATGCAATAACATCATGCATAATACATTTTTGAACATAATCTTGTGCTGCCACATGACTGCCCAAATAATTTTCAACTGTGAAAGTCCCCCTTGTGTCTTGTTACTGTCTTCCAGAATTAAAAAATTGCCCTGTTGAAATAGCATTCCAAGATTTCTGGTCTGTCAATAGCTTCCCTTGTGAGACAATCTAAGGACCACTAGTGTTTTCATTAAACTATTTGATGATAATCCCGGACTGTCACTTTTGGCCAACAACCGTTGAAATATTGGTATAATTTTATAAGATTATTGAGGCTTTGTTAGGGTTCTCCAAACTCTGCTTTTCCTAAACTTCCAAGGTTAAGTGGTTTTGGAAAAAAGTGAATATATGTTTCTTTCTGAATTCTTGCTGTTCCTCTAATAGCTATTTTGGCTCAGATTTCTCGCTGTACAAACTTTTGGTTACATATAAATGCATTCATTATGATTTGTTTCAAGAATTGTGTCTGTGTTAAAAATTTGTTTTCCTGAGATCTACTGTTTGAGCACAAAGTTTATACGTGTGATCCATTAGGGGTTAATGAAGCCAGATTTGGATATGGAATTGATTTACATGATTTTTGTAAAGTGTGTGGTCCTTGGTGGAATGGTTATGTTAATAGATGAAATTTTATTCAGTATTGGGATTTATATTTTTTATATTAGTTTATTACAATGATAGCAAAAGGTGATGTAAAGAATAGTATTGAAGCTGTATGTTTGTTTTCCTATTGAAGTTGTTCATTGTAGTTCATCATCAGATTATGGCTTAGATTATCCATAATCTATTGCTAGTTTTATTGTTGTTTTTCTTGCTGGTGTCAGGGATTCGAGGTTCGCAGCTGCTGCTTATGGGGGCCAATTTTCATGTATTTTAGGAGAGTAAGAATCTCAGATACCAAATATCAACTTTTAATTTTTCTATTCTTTTTATTTTTATTTTTTGTTTATTTTTTTGTTCTTTTACTTTTATATGTGTGACACTGTAGAAACCATCCCAATGATGAACTTTTCTAGTTCCTACTTTCCAAAGCCATCCAAGATATTGATCATTGTAGTTTGTAATTATAAAACTACAACTGTCGTGCCATTCTAAATGTCTATGGCATGTCATTCTAAATGTCTATGGAGGACATATTTTGGTATGATTCTCAGTTTTGTATGGAATAATATTATTATTTTAGGTTGGAATATACTTAATTTGTATGAAATTTGATATTAAAAGTTATTATTTTTTGGATGGTTGGAAGTGAAATGGATGCAAATTGTGGAATGATTGATAATAGATATATTGTTTTATTTATATATATGATACAGGTTGCATGGAATAGGTATATGTTGTGGACAAATTAATTAAAAAATAAAATAAAATTATGTTTTTGGCAACTTAACAGTTAGTAGCCAAAAATGAAGTAAATATTTTTAGCGACTAAATAGTTAGTAGCTAAAAATAAAAAAAAATGGAAAAAAAACTTTTGGCTATTAAATATTTAGTAGCTAAAAATAAAAATAAAATAGAAAAACTTTTGGCTACTAAATATTTAGTAGCTAAAAATAAAAAAAAAATTAGAGAATTTTTTGGCTACTAAATATTTAGTAGCTAAAATAAAAGTAGACTTTAGGCGACTAAGAATTTAGTAGCAAAAAAGAATAAAATGAAAAAAATAAAAATAAATAAAAAGAGGAAAAAACCCTTTGGCGACTAAAATTTTGGTCACTATAGATACTTCAAGTTTTTGCGACCAAAGTTAAATAAAATTTTTGGGCGATTAAAATATTATTTTTGACGATTAAAAATATTAGTTGTCATTTGTAGGATTTTTGGCGATTAAAATATTTTTTAATTGTCAATATTTTCTCCGACAACCTTCCTGCGACCAATCCGGCGATCAAAATAATTAGTCGGAAAAATATTTCGGAGACTAAAAATCTTACTTTTGGTGATTAAAAATTTAATCGCCAAAAATGTAATTTTTTGTAATGGACCGATTCTAAAAAAATAGTAATATTACAAACACAAATTTAATTATTCAGAATTATTATCTTGTGATGTAAATTTATTTTGCACATAAATTTGACATTACACAATTTAATTTTAATAACACATTCGCATGCGGAATAAATTTGGACAATTTTAGTGGGGTTCATGGACGTTTTTAATGTAAAAACATCCCTCACATTTTTGTATTTTCAGGGTTTATTTTTCGTATTCCGTTATGATTAGATCGTTATAGTGCCTTCGATGTTACTGGATTTGATCCATTTCATTTATTTATTATTATTATTTTTTTTTTGTGATTCAATACTGGATTTGATCGATGGATGTGAGGTTTTGGAGGATTTCCCCCTCCCCCCTTTTTGTTGTTGTTGTTGTTGTTGCGTGGGTTTAGCTTTATCGCTCTTCTTTGATTCTTGATTTCTTGATTGGTTGCTAAGAAAGCGCATTCAAGGAGGGGGAAAAAAGTATATTGTGTGTGTGTGTGTGTGTGTGTGTGTGTTTTTTTTTTTTTTTTTTTTTTTTTTAATGGTTGAAAGTGAAATGTGTGCATGTTGTGGAATAGTTGCTAATTTTATCAGTATATGGATAATTTTATTTATAAAATGGGAAAAAAACTTTTGGCTATTAAATATTTAGTAGCTAAAAATAAAAAAAAATAGAGAATTTTTTGGCTACTAAATATTTAGTAACTAAAATAAAAGTAGACTTTAGGCGACTAAGAATTTAGTAGCTAAAAATAATAATAATAATAAAATAAAATGAAAAAAAAAACCCTTTGGCGACAAACTTTGGTCGCTGTAAATACTGAGTTTTGGCGACTAAAATTTTAGTAGCGGAAAATAAAATTTTTTGGCGATTAAAAATATTAGTTGTCATTTGTAGGATTTTTGGCGACTAAAATATTTTTTAATTGTCAATATTTTCTCCGACAACCTTCTTGCGACCAATCTGGCGATCAAAATAATTAGTCGGAAAAATATTTTGGAGACTAAAAATCTTACTTTTGGTGATTAAAAATTTAATCGCCAAAAGTGTAATTTCTTGTAATGGACTGATTCTAAAAAAATTGTAATATTACAAATGCAAATTTAATTATTCAGAATTATTATCTTGTGATGTAAATTTGTTTTGCACATAAATTTGACATTACACAATTTAATTATAATAACACATTCGCATGCGGAATAAATTTGGACAATTTTAGTGGGGTTCATGGACGTTTTTAATGTAAAAACAGCTCTTACATGTTACTTATACTCTCTCAAAAGTCTCAAATTGTCTAGGCTTCTCCGACCTATTGTCTCAAGTTGACGTGATACTCTATTCACACAAAAATTTCTTCCAAGCCTGTGTAAAGCCAGCGGCTCTCATCATTGAATCATGATACGGTGAGAATCATCAGATTGAGAGAGAAGTTATTAAGTGGTCTTGGGTATGGTTTTAAGTGTTTGCTTTAATAATGCTGTGATTAGTTGAGGACCATACTTTTGTGTTGGTACATGAAAAATAACAAAAGGATTTAGTATTTGGTGATTAGTGAGGGACAGAACATGTAATCTTTCCAGATTACTTAATAATTTTTGAGATGAGATGAATTTGTATTTCTGTGCGGGGGTTGCATAATAAAAATTATTATATGAGAATACCTTGAAATGAATTTTTACAAACATATAATAGAGAGGTTCTATTATATATCTAATGATTATGAAATAAAAATGTAAATTTATAATTATTTTAAATTGAAAAAAGATTGTTACACTTATTGTTGAATAATGTAATGAAATCTCTGCATTACAAATTGATAGTGAAGAGGATTATATAATCTCTCTTGAGAGGGGTGACAAATCTGATTTATTAGTAATATTTTCTTTGAAATAGGTTTCACTTAAGGTTCTGGATAACTAATTAGGACATGTAGACTAGATTTGCCATTTTAAAAACATCATAACCCAACACCTAATTCTTCTTTCATGGCCAAAACTCTGAATCTCTCTTGCTTAGAGGGGTGCCAATCTCAATATTAAATAATATCGTACAGAGTCATTAGCATTTTATTAAAAAAAAAAAAAAACCTAGAATGGAAGGACTCGTGGCACTAACAATTACAATAAACAGACTAATTTATATGGTGTCAATGACAAATGCTTGTGGGGTGGGGTCTTCGGCATCTCTGTGTTTCTTTTTGACAATTGCTAATTTGCTATCTCCTTATGTTTAGACTGCGCTTTCACCACCCAAGACATTGAAAATAATCAACTCTTGAAAATTTTAAATCAAAAATAATAATAACAAGAATAAATTGAAGGATGTATCTAGTAGGGGTGGAAATCCTGAGTTTCTCCACATTAATCATATCCATTTTACTTTTTCGTAGTATCATCTTGTGACATTTTGAGTTGGTGTCATTAATGTATTATCTAAAAAATACTGGGTGTATGCAAACATTAAAATTTCTTCTTCACAAGTAAAATTTTACGAAACTAATCTCTCCTAAATGAAATTACTCATATTTAATCTTACCTCAATTCTATTTCTTTAATTTTTAAAAAAAAAATAATTGTTAATACACTTGGGACTCAAATAACAATGCTTTTATTGAAAAGATTTTTGAGGTTAAACAAGTTCGTTGACTTGTGCCGTGGGAGAGGAAGAACACTTTGGCATGCATGTATGATGGAATAGAATGGCTAGCAAAATTATCTTTGCAATCCTAAAGTAGGAGTGTATATCGTGTCGTGCTAGGTAGTGTTCGTGTCGTGTCATTTTAGATTCGTGTTAAAATTACCTTAATACTAACTATATCCATTTATTATTTCGTGTTATCGTGTCGTGTCTTTCGCTCCGTGTCCGATTCGTGTTGTATTAACGTGTCATATCAAAAAATTTCACTATTAACTAAAAATATCAAATGTATGAAAAAATTTTGAAATTTTCTTCACAAGTTAAATTTAATGAAACTAATCTCTATTAAATAAAATCATTTATAAAATATTTGATTTTAACTTTATTATGTTTTCTTAATTTATAAAAATTATATTTTATTATTATATCTTTTACTAGATTAACTCAAATAATAGACAAAAAATACATTAAGTTCAATTAAAAGCAAATGAAAATCTATATTAAATTTAAAATCATATTTCACGTACTTTTTAATAAATTGGATGTAATTATGTAAGAGATTAAAAATGGGTAAATTATTGATAAATCCCAATTAGAAGTGTTTTAACTCATGAAGTTCATGAAGAAATTTTTTAACCCATTTAGTCCCATGTATGTATAGTTTTATTCCATAAAATTCTTTTTTCTTGATTTACACTATTTTCTTAGACACTTATGCCCTTATATTTAATTTTGATACCCTTATAAATATTTTTTGAACGGTTAGAAATTTTATGATGTGAACATTCATATTTTAAAATTCACATTGGTAGGAATGCAAAATTGGCCCGTGGGCGGCCCGAAACCCGCCCGTGAGCCTGGGCGGGTCCGGCCCGTTGACAATGTGAATATTCACATTGATATGTTAACATTAACATTAATAGGAGTGTAAAATTGATCGGTGTCCCGTGGTGGTGTGAAACCCGTCCGCGGCTCATGGGCGGCCCAGGGTGGGCCCGGTCCGGTCCGTTGACAATGTGAATATTCACATTGACATGTTAACATTCACATTGATAAGACTATAAAATTGGCCCGCGGCCCATGGCTGGCCAAAAGCTCGCCCGCCGCCCGGGGCGGGCCCGGCCCAGCCCGTTGACAATGTAAACATTCACATTGATATGTTAACATTCACATTGATAGGAGTGTAAAATTAGCACGCGCCTCATGGCTTCCCGAAACCCACCCACAGTCCATGAGCGGCCCGGGGTGGGCCCGGCCCGGCCTGTTAATAATGTGAATATTCACATTGACATGTTAACATTCACATTTATAAGAGTATAAAATTGGCCAACGGCCTAGGGCGGGCCCGACCCGGCTCGTTGACAATGTGAACATTCACATTGATAGGTTAACATTCACATTGATAAGAGTATAAAATTGGCCAGCGGCCCAAGGCAGGTCCGACCCGACCCGTTGACAATGTGAATATTCACATTGACATGTTAACATTCACATTGATAGGAGTATAAAATTGGCCAGGGCCGTGGCTTCCCGAAACCCGCCTACGGCCCATGGGCGGCCCGGAGCAGGCCCGGCCCGGCCTATTGACAATGTGAATATTCACATTGACATGTTAACATT